TTCTATAAATATGACCACACATTCTTGCCTATTGAACAATTGTTCAATAGGCAAGGCAAGTTTATTGGTATAGCACCACTCATACACACGGCAACTCAACAGCTTAACAAAACAAGATAGAAACAGCATTAAAATCATAAATAATCATTCTACATTAAAAAGAGTAAATATAAAATCTCTCAGTTCTATGCATTGCTAAAATATTTACTTTCAGATAAATACATTTGGCTAACATTAGGCTTTTGTTAACCCTAAACAGTGGTATAGTGAGTATGAGAGTATGGTATAAAATTCGAAATATACAAAATACAAAATTAGAAAATATTTCAGTCTTTCTTAGTCCAAATTTACATGCTTTTATATGACACTTGTTCCCACTTTCAGGTTTGGCCACAGACATGAGATGAAGGCGAGGTGGGAGTGGGGATTGGCTTTGTGCGTCTGTGTGTTTGAGCGTTACCGGGGGAAACAAAGGACATTTAGCTCGGGAGACAGGTGCATTCATCTTGGCCTCTCGCTGCAGACGTGTGGGACAGCGTGAGCCTTATCGGGCGCTCCGACAACCTGGGGCCTTCTGTGTGATTTATACCCCTCCTACCTCCACTGTGCCGCTGCTGCCACCGCTGTGCGACGGAGGCTAATCATCTCCTCGCGGGACCATTTGATTACTTATTTTCTTGCGCTTATCATAATTTGTTGGGATTCTGCCGGCGGAAGATTGCCAGTCTTGTATATATATACTGCAAAACGCCAAGTAAAACCACGGCATGCCGGGCTCCGCAAGGGATGCAACTTTACATTTCCGTTTCCAATTAAATGATGAAAATGGTGATTTAGAAATAAGAAGTGAACTGGGGTTTATAATTTGAAATGGAGCATAGCTTGTTTAGTAATGGAATTATCATAACAATGAGTGTAGAAGCAAATGAGAGACATCGGTACAAATGTGAAAGTACAGAGACGACGCCCCTATTAGCCATTATCGACTGAAATGAGAAATGAGAATGAGTAAAGATAGCTTTTCTCATCCGAGGTAATATTAGGTAGATCGGTGACCATTGTTATTGCATACATAAAGGAAAGACTGAAAGGTATAAAGGTGGATTTTCTACTTCTGGGTCCTAATTGTCAATCATTCTGGTGACACGTGCTCGTCAAATAAGACCCGAGAGTTTCTTCAAAAAGTGGAGAGGGCGGTTCTATCCTAAAATTTGGGAAAATCCTCCAATATACCTTTAAGTAACTTCGTTTTTATGCCATACTCTCATTCTCACTACCGCTGCTTATGGTGTAAAGAAGCTTCATGTTAGCCAAATGTGTTCCTCCAAAGGTTTAAGACACATATTTTTGATTATTAGTCAAGATAAGATTGTGTGGTGATATTTTTTGAATGGGGTGGAGTGAAAAAGGTCCTGGTTTCTGGTTCGGAACAGGGCTGTTCTGAGTGTAGTTTGCATGTTCTCCCCATATCTGTGTAGGTTGATGAATATGAACAAAAGTGAAAGTTTGAAAAGAACTGTTTTAACTAGCTCGGACTTCTCCTCCTCTCAGAGCTGCCCGGCCGAGGCTCTGACCCTGAGCAGCAGGTGGCAGAAAAATAAACTCCTTCATAAACCGTGGTAGAAATCCCTTATAGAGAGGAGGGCGGGTGGACTATATTAGATCGGTGCCAACTTCTCCAGTGTGTGTGAGGTCTCTATATCCTCTCACTTTCATTACTGAGGTGTGGGCAAGGAGAAGCCCTTACGTTTCATTTACAAATCCAGGAGAAGGAGACTTATTTGCGGCGGGGAAAGCAGCAGCAGCAGCAGCAGTTCATATGCAGCCGGATCAAAGGAACAAGGCGCTCTCGAACAATGACAATGAAGAGGTATAGGATCAAAAGAACAAAGGGTTTAATCCCGAGGAGCGGAGGAGAAAACGCTCCACTATAGACTGTTCACACAACTGCACACGAAAGCTCTGTTTATTCCGACCATACTGATATTAAACCAGGACTAAACCGGGGTGGGAAGAGGTCTAGAACTGAGACAGGACCAGACCTAGCCTGGCCTTAGCTATCTGTACACAGTCAATTATCATTTCCCTGCATGTAACGTCTGGGTCTAGTCCCTGTGTCTGCAATTACATCGATTGAATCCCATCCGACCAATCATTGAACACGGGAGGCGGGTCTTGTAGTTAGATGTGGGTGACGTCAAGAGTTTGCGCCGAATTGGCTGGTTGTAATGGTGCGATGTGGTGATTGTGGCGCTACTCCCCACGGGCTCCGTTAGTGGCAAAGGAGATGGCTAAGCTAGGCTAAATGCTAAAGCTAGGGTTAAATGCTAACTCAGGCGCTTTACGTACGTTAAGGTAAACTCAGATCCAATAATTTCAATCTACGAAGGGAGTTTTTGAAGGTCAATGGAGCCAATCCAGACCTTAGTACGAAATGAAATTTGTACTATGGTGTGGTACGACCAGAAAAGACCAGACCAGAATCAAACCCAAAAACCAGGCAGTCAGATCATAATCAAAAGGTTAATTGTTATCAAATAAATAACAATTGTTGACGTTTGGGTGAACTTTTGAAAGATGTACTAATTTTCCAAGTTTCACCTGAAATGTCCTAAATACTAATTAATTTGAAAGTTATATATAAGAGTAAGAGACAGCAAAATGAATAGCAAAAGTTGTAGCAGACAAAATAACACTATATGTTCTTTAAGGTCTAATAGGCTGTAATTCATAATGCTCACACAGAAACAACACAAAATGGAAAACTCCAGAGAAGGTCGGTATAATGGCCCATGTAAAACCAAACCTTCTTTCCTTTTGTGCGCCTTTGTCTGGTCTGGCCTTGGCGAGTTGGCGCAGTTATGTGTGGTCTGTACAGTGAAACGCTCCTCTGACAATGACAGCAAACTTTAGGAGGTTTGACTGAAACGTAAGCAATAGAATACAAAAGTTGACTGGACTGGTATCACGCAACATAAAGGATTACGAAAACACACGCACACGGCCAGGCCAAGGACAACTGTGCCGTGCATGGGGCTGATGTCGCAGAACAAAACACTGTCAAACTGTAGAAAAGTGAAGCAGTTAAAAAGATGAAACTTGCCCATTTCTTTGACGTAATTTCTCAGTTTTTCTTATTTTTACTTTTCTTCATGACAAGGCAAGTAAGAAATGTCTCTAATTTACCCGGAATGTATAGCTTGGTATGCATAAGGGGGCTACATCTTTGCGGATTCCTCGATACGTAAAACTATTTCAGGACATTATGGACCAAAGGAACAAGGACATGTTTGAAGTCAGTAATCTTTGTTTTTTTTAGCACATTTCTGCCTTTTCATTGATTTTTAAGTACTGATATTTTTCAATCCGCTCCACCCACATTCAGACATATTGTAAATTTTTTGATAGTGGAAGGGGAAACCGGAGCACCTGGAGGAAACCGAAGCACCCAGAGGAAACCTACACTGACACTGGGAGAACATGCAAACTCCACTCAGAAAGGCCCAGAGATGGAACTGAACCCAGGACCCTCAATAACCGAATTTTCCCGACTGCTGAAGGGTGATCTCGGAGATATCAAACCTGTTACGAATATTTTCCACCAGAAAAAAAAGGTTTTTGGTGCTTATACCAAGGAGAGAGACTGATTTTAACATATGGATTTAGAAAAACACATATTTGAAATGATACAGATTCATTTATTTGCCATTTGCATTAAAACCACATTGGACTTCTTGGTCATATAGTAACAAATATGTATACTTAATTAAAGACATCACCCTTATATATAGCCACATTTAGATTAAGGATTCAATGTGATGTATTTGATGGAAGAAAACACGGATTATTTTTGCTCCATTCAGAAAAAAATGTATATGTATAATTTTTTTTTCTTCCTCTTGCCCACCCTCTGCACAAACATGTTCCACTTCCACAGGGACAGTCTGTCTGAACAGTGGGCAGCCGCAGTACTGCACCCGTGGGCCTCCTCAAAGCCTCAGATCATGAGCCAGACCGTGGTCAGGAGAACCTCGCTGGAAGTCTGGATTATTCTATTTCGAGCATCGACCCAACACCCCAACACCACTCACCAGACCGCAGAAACTGAACTCACCGGGAGCGCCAAATATCAGTAACATTATTGGGGATATGAGGGATTTAGAGGTTTACAAAGAGGTTTTTCAGAACAAAACAATATCTTTAGCATCATTTGTATATGTTTTATGTTTGCTCTTTCATGCATTAAAACCCTAAAGTGGTTTCTACTGTAAACTGTAGGTCGTATTTTTATCTGGCAACCACCGTCACAGCTACCAGTCCCATAATGAAACAATTGAGGGAACTCTCTTTCAAAATTGTCTTCTAGATTCCCATCAGGGTTATGTGGATTGTGTTTGGACTCCAACTAAGAAATCAAATGAGAAACTCAAAGACATTTTTCGACTCAAATCTTTGTAGTGACAACTTTAACAATAATTGAGAACCGCAGTTTTGAACGCAGAAGTTGTTGAGACAAAATGTTCTCTATATCCTGATGCTTTAAAGTTGAAAATGCTGGATGGGACAGATGCAGAGGACATGTTTACCTACAGGTAGAAACAAAAGTGTACCAAAACATTATCATAGCCCAAGTGTCATCAACGAGGACAAAGGTTTATACCCTGGTTGGATATGTCACCTTTAAATAAATAAATAAAACAAACAATATATAAATAAATACACAAAATTAAAACATATATAAATGAAAAATAAATACACAAACAAATAAACAAAAATTATGAAACTAAAAAATGAAATAAATAAAAAAATAAATTCATGAAAAATAAATAAATAAAATAAATATTAATAAATTCATGAAAAAAATACATAAATAAATGTGCACATGCAAAATAAATACATAAATAAATAAATAATAATAATAATAATAATAATAATAATAATAATGAATAATTTGTCCCACAGTGGGGAAATTTCAATGTCGATAAACTTCTTGAACTCACCGTGTTGAAGTTAGGAAACAGGCTGAGCGGAGAGGATCCATTCAACCTGAAGGGCAGAAGGTGCTTGATGTCCAACTGCGGCTGCAGCGCTCGTCCTGGGACCGGGAGCGAGGCCAGGAGAGGACTGCCCTGTGCTGACGTGCCTGCAGACACACACACACACACAACGTTAGCATACATATGGGACTCAAGCCGGAGCCAAAATAGTAAAAACTGCTCAGGTGTGGCGCTTGTAGCACCTGTGACTTTGATGGATTCGCCACCGGAGGCAGCGTTGCACCTTCCAAAAGTAAGTTTAGGACACACATCCCGAATGACTGTATGTGATGTTTTGTGACGCTGTTGCTGGGACAGAAAGTCATGCAGGCTCTATTCCTTTTGGACTATTCTTTCAGGATGTGGCCCTTCTCTACGGTCAAGGACATGACTCTATCTTTTCTCCCCATCTCTCGTTGTTCAATTTGAAGTGAAAAAACTAGAAATCCAAAAATCCAATGAAGTGCATTCTTCTAAACAGTTTTCTATATAGTCGAGTTAGCTAGTATATAGTTGATGTTATTACACAGCAAATAATGAATAATTAGTTTGTTCTTTATGTGCTGAGAGTCCACATTATTGCTTTTATGGAATGAGTGGCATTAATGTATCTATGTAGCAGCTCTTTCTGTAGATTTGTCATTGGAAAACTTGGAACTTACAGGTGTTGCTGTTTTATTCTCTTTTCAGGGATGTGTTTCAAAACTATTGATTTTTCATTTAGTACAGACTTGTAACGGAATTTGTCACACGTTGAGTTCCTTCCTTCAGAATAGATTTTAAGTTCCAAAAATGATATAGAAAAAATAGATACAGTATTGATTTTAGTATTAGTTGATTTTTTAAAACATTAAAAGTAAGGTTTTTTAAAGATGAAAAAAATAAATTAAAACCAAAACAAATAATAATCTATCTTTAGGTGAATATCAATAAGACAAATAGATAAAAAAAAAACCAACAATATTGTAATTGCAAATCCTATAAATACAACTTTTAGAGAGATTTTGATTTTGTGTTTTGACTTAAAATAACAACTAAGTCAAAGTTTTTTTTAGGGCCTTACTGACAGCCTGTGCTTGAGGCAGATCCAGCCTTTTATTTGGAGTAAAAAGTTTCCTTGGGTCTGGCCTGTCTCTCCCCGTATACCGACTACAGCGACTCCACGGTTTTAAAAGCATGATCAATAAAAGATAAAATCTGATTTACGTTCAGCGTATGCAGATCCTTCATTCGTGGGGAAATGGACTTTGCCTTGCACCCAGTCACCCCCATTACCAGACCACCGCCACGGGACTCTTACACCTGAGACACATCATTTAATTACTGATTTATTGGGCGGGGAAAATGGCGCGTGTGAGGGAAAGACGGACGATATCGGATTCCAAATGGGCCGAGGATGACGGGATTTCTAATTTTCCGGTTGGTTGCGTTTCGGTGGAGCTTATCTCGGGACCGGGATCAATCATCTGTGTCAGCGTCCGGGTCACAGTGGCCATCAAAAACCCCACCAAGACCTCCATACAACACGGTAATGACAAGAGACTGAGGAATTCTATAGTGGACAGAAAGCAATCATTGACCTTAACAAAATCAGTCTAAGATACACAAGAAAGGACAAGAACTTTTTGCTTTTCTTTGGACCAGGCTCGAGATGGTGATCGAGTAACATGACCAGAGTGAATGAAAAGCAAGAATGTTGCCAATACTCACAATTGAAAACTTAGTTCGAGAATGGGAAATAGGCAAAAATGAGGCAAGAATCTGAAAACTGAAACATGGGAATAGCAATATCACTATAGACTTCGCAATCGGCTTTCCTCAGGACAACGTGGACTTGCTGTATTCAAAACACTTCTAGTCACTAATGGAGGAGTGACAGCATCTGGTAGTGCCCAAACTCACTGGTTGCGTAAAAAAAACAGACTAAGGTCAAAACAGTCTCTCTTCCATCATCATCATCATCATCATACAAGTCTCTCCATGGCCTCGCACTAAAGTACATTAGTGACAAATGAACCGGCTCGGACTCTGAGGAGCACAGGGACTGGCCTCCTGCTGGTGCCCAGAGTCAGAACAAAAAACACGGGGAGGCTGCATTTGAGATTTATGCAGCTAAAATCTGGAACAGTCTCCCTGAAAATGTGAGAGAGGCGTCTACATGTGCATACAAACTGAAGGATTTTATATCTGTTTCGAATGCACAGTGGTTATTTGTTTTTTTAATTTCTTGTGTGATTTTAATGATTTAATGGTGATTCTGGTGTTTGTTTTATGTGATGATTTGTGCCTTGGATGATGTGGACTGTGAAGCACTTTGTGTTGAAGATGGATTGATTGATTATCACAACAAGAGAGTGAGTAGAAGTGGCCCCTCTGTGTGCGATGATTGACAAACTCGAATCAATCCTCTTTCTGATGAACGTTGACAAGTGTAGAATCCGATTTCAATGGAAAATACACAGACAGCTGAATGTCAGTAGTTACCACAACATCATGTCGTCCCTGAGGCAGCTCTGTCCCCTGTCCTGCAGTGACCCGGCAGTGGCCCAATGGCTGTAAGAGTGGTCAGCCTGGCACCTTTACTTTCCATCCCAGTGGTCTTTAGGAGACTTTTTTCTCTTTCCTGACGGTCCTCTCACCAGAAAACCTCTGACCTTCTGACCGTCACTTTATGCTACCGTCACTTTATGCTACTGTCACTTTATGCTACCGTCACTTTATGCTACCGTCACTTTATGGTACCGTACCTTTATGCTACCGTCACTTTATGCTACCGTCACTTTATGCTACTGTCACTTTATGCTACCGTCACTTTATGCTACTGTCACTTTATGCTACCGTGACTTTATGCTACCGTCACTTTATGCTACCGTACCTTTATGCTACCGTCACTTTATGCTACCGTCACTTTATGCTACCGTCACTTTATGCTACCGTCACTTTATGCTACCGTCACTTTATGCTACCGTCACTTTATGCTACTGTCACTTTATGCTACCGTCACTTTATGCTACCGTCACTTTATGCTACCGTCACTTTATGCTACCGTCACTTTATGGTACCGTACCTTTATGCTACCGTCACTTTATGCTACTGTCACTTTATGCTACCGTCACTTTATGCTACCGTCACTTTATGCTACCGTCACTTTATGCTACCGTCACTTTATGCTACTGTCACATACTGCTCTCTACCGCACTCTTAAGGGTCTATAGCGTGCTCCTAGTGCACTTGTAAATAGTACACTGGAGGAATTTGTGTAGATTATTTTTTATGCATGCCTGGCTACTTATTTTTATTCTGCTTTAACTTGTTTGCACCTAGAGCCAAAGCAATTTCTTTGTTTGTGACTTCCTGTTACTCACATGGCAATAAAATAATTCTGATTCTGATAATACAATACATCCAAAAAGTCCAACGTGCGTCTTATGACAAACTGTATAAACACCCAAAACAATACAACAACAATTAGATTACCAAAGTTGAAAAATACAAGTTTGATATTTCCCTCCCAAATATGGGCACCAAAAAACGAAGAAAGAGAAAAGATCAGATGAATCATGGACTGACGGAGGGTGATAAAAAACCATCTTTAATTAAAATATGCGACATTTATCAGACATTTATGCAAACTTCAATGAGCCTCTGAATGTCTCTTATTACAGCTGTGTGTCCTTTAGAGGCTGCATATTTTTGATACATGAATCGTTGCATAATTGCTTGAAATGTCATTCGCTGAATTAGATTTAACTTTGTGATGAAGCACTTATAATCAAGCTAAGATAAGTGAGCGTGACTTTTTACTGATTTAAAGGCCTGAGATATTGTGTGCAGATATAAGGACGGTTTAGCTTCAAACTTGTTGAAAAACCTGATAAAGAATATGATACAAAACAGCACAAGCAGAGGATGCATAGACAGAGCGACGCATTCATCCATCCATCCATTTTCCTCCACTTTATCTGTTGCCGGGTTGCAAGGGGCAGCAGTCCGAGCAGAGACGCCCGGACATCCCCTATCCACACACATTTCCTCCAGCTGAGAAACATAGACCCTCCAACGTGTCCTGGGTCTCCTCCTGGCATGAGCAACCTCCACTTGCTCTACTCGACGTGGAGGAGCAGCGTCTCTACTCCAAGCTCCTCCCGCGTGACTGAGATCCACACCTTATTTTTAAGGGAGCACTCAGCCACTCTGCGGAGGAAGCTCATTTGGGTCCTTGTGAATATAATCTAATCTTTTTGGTTTTTTACCCAAAGCTCAGGATCAGTGGTGAGGGTGGGAATATACAGTAGATGCCATGTCATTGTCAGTTTGTTCCCCTTTATTAGTCCATTTCTGAGTTGGGAGGGTGGCAATCAGAGCTGCCACCCAACACACACAGCACCAGTCCCTCGCTGATCCTCCTGCAGTTACAGCCATGGTCTTTCACAGGGGGCTTCCGGCAAAGCGGAGTAAAGTGTCTTGCCCAGGGACAGCAGAGAAAAATCTCTGAACACTAAACATTGTAAAGCGCTTTGGGGGACCTAGGTCTGGAAAAATGCTCTATATAGATAAAGATTACTTACTTACTACTTAACTATGAGACACAGTGGCTCAAAATAAACATTGAACCACTTCTTGACTCAATAACTTTTTCAATTAATAAAATGCCAAATGTGAGCTACTAAAAACATATCCACAATGACCCAGTGAAAGCAGCACAGCACAGTTCTCTCAGTCTCTGCTGTTTCAACTTGACGGATGGCATTTTAACAGACTTTCCCTCTGCACATATTGAGACTCTGCTCTGTGCAAAACGCGTGGGAGGTTTGACCATATGCTCCTGCGCCCTGGACCCCCGCCCGCCTGCTTCCCTTTCGGGTGCGCGTCGACTGGGAGAGACTGGGCCTGTCCAGACACGTGGGAGATGCACAGCTCTTGGCACGGCTATCACAGAGAAGCAGGGCATGCTGGGAGGACGGTTATCTGCTATCGCACTTCCCACCTCTCCGAGACTCCCCAGGCAGTTTATTAAATCAGGGGTTGGGTAGCTGCCGGTGCTGTGCTGACGATAAAGCCGGCGTGGAGCTCAGACCAAACGAGATAAAGACATGCGGGGGACGGTTGAGAAGAAGCAAGACACGCACTCGTATCGGTAATAAGTAGTTCAAGAGGTCCGCGTGACGGGCTGACGAGTAATCAATCAACTCAACTACTACTATTTCTTGTTTCCTTCAGCTTTACGACTGTACAACAGATACAGAATGAGCACTATTATTTGTTAGTTAGTTAGAAACGATTAAAATGTATGTACTTATGAGTTTGTATGGATGTGGGGCTGCTGCTGGACACCTGAATTTCTCCTACACAGGGATGAATAAAGTATCTATCTTCTATATACTGTATCTTGTTCACATATGTTTAAATGGAGAGACATTGGACAGCATTAAAGCTAGGGTGCCTAACTTCAATGCTAACAAACCACAAGAAAATGTTGCAAAAATGAATTAACATCCAACAAACTAGTCCCTCGCTTTCAAAACAATTTCTATCACTAGTTTTCACATGCATGTTTTTTGACTTCTGTTACATCTATAGATCAAAGGGACAAAAGTGAGATCCGCCCTCACTCAGCCAATCAGAATTCATCCCAAAGTGCCAAACAGTGACTCACAGGGCTATGCAACAAAACATAAACTTATATCATAGCTAACACAAATCATGTATTAGTTATGAAACAAATGAAAAAATACTGAACAGTTGTGCTAACCAATGCTAACAAGTCACGTGTCAGATTTTACATGCATTTTTTAAGCTTTAATGACATAAAATTGACCCACTGTGGGAGGAATAAATGATTTCTTAATCTTAAAAATATATGTCTGTCTTTATAACTGTAACCTTTAAACTAAGTGTGGTTGTTTTCCTCAAGGATCCAACGCAAAGAGAGACCTTGACCCATACAAAAGAAAAAGTCTCTGCTAGTGACCATGGACGCCTCCTGTTCTGTCCATGTTCTTTGGGGCCGTCTCCACCGATGACTGTCTCTGTCCTTCACCAACATGATAATTCTTTGGTCAATATAGACACATGAGCTTGGAAAATGAAGGATTTGAGTTGAGTTTTTTTCCAGATTCAGATGTATTTTTTATTGCCTATTGCCATTGTAAGTAACAGGAAACTTCCCAAACTAAGAAATTGGCTTTGGTTCAAGGTGCAAACAAGTTTTAAGGGTAAAAATATAGAGGCATGCATCAAAAAAATCTTCAAAAACTTTCTTGAAAATGACTGTTACGTAAGTTTAGTCATGTGTGCGGTAAAGTGACAGTGGTATAGTATAAACTGAATAGTAGTGACAGTAGTGAGTAACTCCTAAGGCACCAGATTTTCACGCCTCAGATATAAAAGTAAGTATTTAACCCTTGTGCTATCCTTGGGTCAAAATTACCCGCAAAAATTATTTTAAATATATTTGTTTTTTTCAAGCTGAATTTATTTCTATACATTCCATAAAATATTTTCTATATTTCTATTTTCT